TGAAGAGTTCTCTCTGTCCCTCATTTTTAGTTTTTCTGTTGGATCTTCTCTCCTGTTGTTTATTTTTATTTCATATTTCTATTGCTAAATAGAGACAGTGATTATACCCATAGCAAGAAAGGGTATTCATGTTTATTCTCCCACCCCAACCCCCACCTCAAGAACTGCTTAAAAACCCATCCACTAGTTATAGAAGGAACATTAGTGATAAAGACAAGACTGTGTAGGCTGTGTTCAGGGGAGGGGACTGATGATAAGTCAATATACATAGTTGAGACCATAGTAGTGTTCTCTGACACAAAAAGAAAACACAATGAGTGGAATGCTTTAACACTGGTGGTCAGGCATTGGAACACAGTCCACGGATGAAGCTGTGTGAGAAGAATCATTAGTGCTTGTGAGAAAACTCCAAGAAAGCAGAACAAGAGTCCTGTGACCTTGACCCATCAAAGCACAGGATTGTTCTTGAAATGTGCTCTTGTGCCCATCCTAGAAGTAGCAAATGAGAGAGGTCTTGCTTCAGATTACCCACTGCATTTACTGTTGCTATTCAGCACAGCTTGCCCTTGTGATTGTATATAGCTTGAACTTTGCTTATATGATGGCCTTGCTTAAAGCTCAGAATAAAAATTATCTGTGGCCAGGCAGTGGTGGTACATGCCTTTAATCCCAGCACTTGGGAGGCAGAGGCAGGTGGATCTCTGTGAGTTCGAGGACAGCCTTGTCTACAGAGTAAGTTCCAGGACAGGTCTGGAAGCTACACAGAGAAACCTTGTCTCAAACAAAGCCAAAATAAAAATAATTATTTATTGCATGAGACTTTAGTCTGCCTCATTTTTAGGCTCCATTCTCCCAGGTCCCAATACTTTTAGAGTGGTGACAGTCAGGAAAGCTCTTTCTGATGGGAGGGTATTAGAGACAAGACCTACATAAAATGAAGGCCTGCTGGAGGGGCTGGTAAGAAGAGAGAATAGAGCAGACACATGCTCTGAGGTGAAGCACCCTGGCTTATAGATTATCTTGCATGCCTAGACTCCCCCTCCTTTTCCTGTCTCTCCCCAGAAATTCCTTCTATACCTCCTGACTAGCTATTGGCCATTCACCTTTTTATTATACCAACTGCAGCAATATATCTTCACACAGTGTACAAATATCCCACAACAAGCAGGTTCTGTTGCTACTCTCTTCCAGCTGACAATACCTCTAGACCATGCTTTCTCCTATCATCCTTCCTTCCAACTGCTTATGTAGATGGTTCAATCTCATCTGAGATTCAACAATTCTAACACTGTGTCTTTTCCCTTTGACATCTTTCCTGGTTATCTGTTTTCTATTATTAGTTTTTCACTGCCACAAAGCAGAAGCAAAAAACAAATAGCAAAACAAGTGAATTGTATTAGATGCCTATTTCTTCATTGCCCTTCCTTGCACTGTCTCTCAAACTCAGCCCTTCCTTTCCATTCCTATTATAACTCCTTTGGTTCATGACCTGAGGGGTACATTAGCCTTTTAAGTTCTATCTAGTTTCTTTACAGTATATCTGTTTCCTCTATTACCAAAGCTTCTTATTCTTTATATACATCATTACTATTTTAAATTATACCAGCACATTATTTTAATCTTAATCATCAAAAACTTTAGTGGATTCCCTCTACATATTAGATAAACTCAAATTTAAGACTGATCCAAAAATCTAATTTGTTTCTAGTTCTCCTTCTCTCTCTCTCTCTCTCTCTCTCTCTCCCTTTCTTTCTCTCTCCCTCTGTCTCCCTCTCTCCCCTTTTCTCTCTTTCTCTCTCTCTTTTTCTCTCCCTCTCTTCTCTCTTCCCCATCATGAAAATCTAGACTCAATCCACATCAAAACTTGTCATCTTGAATTCAGAATGCAAAGACCGTAGATACATTTTCTTCCCTACATCTAGAGAATTCTACTCTTTCCAATATTTTTTTAATAGCCACAGTTCAAAACACTCTTTCCTTTTTGAATTTTGACTGAAATTACCATCGAAAAACATCATTCATTTGCCTGACATTTCCCACTTCATACTGCAAAGGAAAGTTATATACATGTGTCTTATTACCCCAACTTGGTATTAATTCCCCTGAGGCTCAAACTCGGGGCCTCACGTATGACATGCAAATCTCAGTCCCCTTTCAAGACATTTTTGTGCCACAAATTCTCTCCAAAATTGGATTTTGCTGAGATTCCCTCCAGTGATATTATAATAATTGAATCTCTAAAGCATGTAGAAAAATAAATATTGGAGTTGATTGGCAGAATGGTTCTTTCTTTCCAAACTGAAGTGTTTTAAGAGTGGATTGAGACCCACCGAATAGAGCACTTAAAAACATCCAGCTAGACTTTACTTGAATCATCCCATAAATCTGCTTTAATGTAGAGGGGGTCCTATATGGCCTCAGCATCATGCAGTCTTTAAAATGCACATACCAATTGGTCATGACCAACACTACGAATTATCCACAGCAGTTTTACTTCGATAGTTAACATGGCACCCCCATTCACATTACACCGTTTGCTGATGAGTAGATGGGGCCAATGTATCAGCTATTATAGACTGGGAAAGGTTTTGTAACTTTATTGAGTTTTCCCAGTTTGGAAGTAGATGCCCAGGCTGGAGGCTATGTCATGTGTGTGTTTCAGCTCTGTGCTGTAGTCTTGCAGCCACCTTTCTCAGAGAAGTTGTGTGCCTTTACAAGCAGCAGAAAGTTCCGCTCACACCTTTGCAGACTCTTTTGCTTTTTCTCAGTGAGCTTGAGTTCTTTTAGCAACAGCAACAGCATCAGCAGTGCAAACAAAACTGCAGTAACTCCCCCTGTAGTATCACCTACCTATCGTCCTCCCTGCTCATTGCTCTTGATAGCCCAGCATCATTTCCTGAATGACTTTGCTGTGGGGAATGGAGCATAGCTTAACACCCACACCACATTCAAACACTTGTGGTTGCACAACTGCCCTAACACCAGGAAGCTCTCAGCCTTAGCAAATGGCCCCCACATTTCAGAATATAATGATGGAATACAGCCAGAATTAGATATCATGTATCTGATTCATCTCATACCTAACTTAAACCCAAAGAGTAGAATAACAGTTAAGCCATAGGACCTCAATTCTTAAAAGCCTAGAGACATTTAGGAGATCTGAGACAGGGGTTGGCTATGGCATTTGCAGGAGCTACTGTAAAATGAACATTTGGGGCCCTCAGTTTGAAATCCGTTGAGCATTTAGAAGTCACACAGCACCAGAAAACAAGTTCCGGGTCCTTGAGTTTAGCCTCTGGCATGCTATACCTGAGACACAAGCTAAGATATCTGAGGGGCCTTTGTGAACCCTATCAGCCCAGTAGGAGAATTTATCTGGTGACACTTGATGTTGGGGATTTCTGCAAAATGTGGCTACTGCAGACAGCATTAGCCTAACTTTATGTTTTCCATGTGTTTTCTTCCTGTTGTCCTTTCCATTTAGCACTCATCATGTTTCCTTTTATATTTTGTGGGCTCCTCGGGACTATAGTGGTATCCTATTATCCCTGGGTCCTAACATAGCATGAATGTGTAGTTAGCACTTAATAAATGTTGATGGGTAAGTGTCCCTAATTTCCTCCCACCTCACCCTTCCTTGTTGTAGTGCCCTGAAACATGTTAACTTGGCTTGCCCATTCCAACTAAGGCACCAGTATATTCCTCCTGAGGGCAAGCCTTCCAATGGCCTGAAAGGAAAGAGGTCCATCCTAGCAGTCCTGGGATCCTGCAGTAGCTGCTGGGCTGTAGGGCAAAGGTGGCCATGAGTGAGCACCACTCATGGTTAAGAAATTCTTTCATTTTAGCAACTTGCATTCTCAACAGACCCTCTGTCTACCATGCCCTGTGTCAACTTTAGGGTTAACCTGAAACCACTTATGTGGAAAACATGGCTTGGCCTTTGGGGCTTACACATAACTAGTCTATATCAAAACAGCTCAGCTAGTTGTTTGAGATTATACCGTTTCTGACTGGTCAGTTCCCATGTCATATGTATTATTGCATACTTCATGTATCATCCCTGCCAGTCGCAAACACTACTGATTATTAAAGAATCCAAAGCAAGTAAATCTGCTGTATTAAAAAATGTTTACCTAGATGCATAAATTCTGAATGCTAGAAGGCATTCAAGGAAAAGAGACAAGAAGCCCTCCTTAGGTCCACGATATCAAGTGTGTCCCTTTTCTGATCCTTCTGCCCAGTAGTGGAAGAATTTGGGTTAAGTTCCTGGATTAAAAGAGTTACTGCTTTTCTTGTTTGTTTGTTTGTTTGTTGTTTTTTACTGTGGTCTTAAAAAAAACGTGTTATATTTTCCCTTTTATCCTTAGAAGATAAAGTCAAAGTGTTCTAGGTTTCTTCTAGGTTCTGGAAAAATTATTCCCAAGGTTGATGATTTTAGGGGTATCTTTTCTGTTCACGTCTATCTTCCCAACCTACATAGAGTCTTTGACATACAATGGCTGTTAAGCGAGTTAAGTATTGCAATACTCTTATGTTGTATACATTCTCTTGAAGCAAGTAAAGCTAAGTTCATTTCTTCATTCATTCATTTATGAATGAACACGTGCATTTGTTCAGGCACAGTTTTGTTTCAGACAACACAAATTTTGGTTGTCATAGCACATTAAACATACCTAAAGTAATCCCAGCACTCAGGAGACAGAGGAGGACAGATCTCTTTGAGTTCAAGGTCAGCCTGGTCTACAGAGCTAGTTACAGGACAGCCAGGACCACACACACACACACAGAGAGAGAGAGAGAGAGAGAGACAGAGACAGAGACAGAGAGACAGACTCGAACAAACAAAAAAGAAGAGGAAAAACATACCTAGAATGAAAGAAGAAATCCTCATGACACAGGATGAGCAGTGTCTGAAGCAGTTCCTCAGTGATACTCAAGAAAGAGAAGGATCACAGAGGTTCAACAATCTGATGGTTACTGTTTTCTTTTTATATCCCCAGGGCCTGAAACAGCAGGAAGAGATGCAGATTTGCTTGTGGTGAATGGGATTCTTGGGGAGTCGGTTACTTTCCCCTTAAATATGCAAGAGCCACAGAAAGTTAAGAACATTGTCTGGCTCTCTAAATCATCCGTTGCTTTTGTAAAATCCAGACTCAAAGGAGAACCACCTGAGGTGACAGTGACCCAGGCCGCTTATGAAGGACGAATAGCTGTCATAGATCAGAACTATGACCTAGTCATTACACACCTGAGGATGGAAGATGCAGGAACTTACAGTGCAGACATAAATATACAGAATAATACCTCCACCACTACAAAGAAGTATCACCTTCATATCTACCGTAAGTTATGGGAGGACAGAGGGCAGATTTTACTTTTGCTTTCGAGATTTCTGACCTAAATTTCTGAGAATGGTTTCCTAACTCTTTTCATACTTAAATTGTATAGGCTCATCAGCACTTCTAATGGTTAACTTTAATGTTGGCCAACACAGACTTTAGTCGTATTGTTTTTCCAGTGGATCTTTATTTTCCTTTCTTATGAAATGTCGACAATAATACTATTTAGTTTGCAAGAGTTATTATGACAATCTAGTAAGACGCCATCTACAAAGTGGTCTCTAAAAAGCGCTTATTTTAAAATAACTGCAGAGTGCACAGGAAAATGTAAAGAACCACAAAAGGAGGTGTTATGCACCCTTCACTTCCCCTTCTGTTCCTCTAGATCCAACCCCCACCCCAGGCTTATCTCCAGTACTCTAGCAAACCCTCTGAGATGACCTCGTACTCTAGCAAACCCTCTAGGATGACCTTGTACTCTAGCAAACCCTCTGGGATGACCTCTCTCCACTGCCCACCCCCTCGATTCCAAGGAGATGAAATAAGCAGGTGCTGGTTGAACACTCTCCTCCTGTAAGTGTCCTGCTCAGTGTGCAAAGTCAAAACAGGAAACTGTGCAGTCTGCAGAGCAGGCTTAGAATGCTCCCACTATATCTGTGCTTATTTGTGAATGGAATCCCTCGTATTCCTGTAGAACTTAATCACAAGTGCACCACTGGATACCATGATCAAAGTAGTTAAGTGTACCATCCCAAGAGTCCCTTGTCTCAGTTCCAGAGGGTGGATGGAGATTTGTCAGCCCTGACTCCGGCTTTCTCTGCCTAGCAGCTTACTGCAGATAACATCTCGGTTCCTACTGAGAAAGCAAAATGAAATTGTAGTTTTCACCATTATGGTTATACCAATACCCACCACACACACACACACACACACACACACACACACACACACACACACATCCCACTACCACCAAAAGCAACAACAAAAGCTAAATGATGGAAATCAACAATCATTGACATCTCTCAATATCAGTGGTCTCAATTCCCCCCAGTAAAAAGACAGACTAACAAAATAGATGTGAAAAAGGGCCCATCCTTCTGCTGCATCCAAGAAATACACCTCAACATCAAAAATAGACATCACCTCAGAGTAAAGGGGTTAGGAAAAGGTATTTCACACAAATAGATCTAAGAAACAAGTTGGTGTAGCCATTTTAGTATCTGACAAAATAGACTTCAAACTAAAACTAATTAAAAGAAACAGGGTAGAACAATATACATACTCGTCAAAGTCCAAGAGGACTTTGCAAATGTTAACATCTATGCCCAAACACAAGGGTACCCACATTTGTAAAAGAAACATCACTATAGCTTGAGTCACAGATTGACTTGACTCTCACACAGATTGTGGGAGACCTCAATACCCAATTCTCACCAACAGACAAATCATCCAGACAAAAACTAATCAGAAAAATGCTGGAACTATGGTACTAACACCTTTTTGTTTGTTTGTTTTGTTTCGTTGTATGAGACAGGGTTTCTCTGTGTAGCTTTGGAGCCCGTCCTGGCACTCACTCTGTAGAACAAGCTGGCTTTGAATTCACAGAGATCCACCTGCCTCTGCCTCCCAAGCACAGGAATTAAAGAACAGAATTGGGGTGCATGATATGAAACCCTCCAAAGAGTCAATAAAGAAGTTTTTTTTTTTTAAAAAAAAAAGAGTTGGTTCTTTGAAAAAAAACCAACAAGATATACAAGTTATCCAAAATAACTACAAGACAGAATGAGAATATCCAAATTAACAAAATCAGAAATGAAAAGGGAAAGCATAACAACAGACACCTTGGAAACCCATTCCTTCACTAAATTGGAAGATCTAAATTAGATAGACAATCTTTGTGGTGAATACTGCTTGCCAAAGTTAAACCAAGATCAAATAAGTAATTTAAACAGATCTATAACCCCCAGAGAAATAGAAGCAGCCACACCTACTCCAACAAAGCCACTCCTACTCCAACAAAGCCACACCTACTCCAACAAAGCCACTCCTACTCCAACAAGGCCACGCCTCCTAATTGTTTCAAGCAGTTTCATTTCCTGGTGACTACACATTTAAACATATGAGCCAATGGGAACCATTTTGATTCAAACCACCATACCTTCAACGCGCACAATTTTCAGATACACTCCTGTTTTGGTTTTAGAATGGTTGTAGTAGGTATCCCTGGCTGGCCTCAAATTCATAATCTTTCTATCTCCCACTCCCAAATTATAGGTATTTATCTGCATGCCTAAATATAAGTGACTCTTTTGCTGAGGGAAAAAAAAAAAGAAAACAAGAAATGTTTTACAGATACTGGATCAGTATAGGATTTTGTTTTATATTAATAATGCAATAGCTACAAACATAACATGTTTTAAGTTTCATCTGTTTTAGCAACTTTTCCTCCATTGCTTTCTCAGGTGTAGAGAGCATCATAACCAAAAGAATAAATCAAGCCCAAAGTTACAAAATTTCCAAATTTCTGTTGTTAAAAACTTCGGCCATGACTAGTTTCTCTTCCTCTACTACTCCTATTTCTTCTCTACTGTCCCTGTCTTTCTGTCCCTGGATATATCCATATGAGAAAAAATACTATTTTCAATAAAAGGGAAAATGAAAAAATAGATATAAGTATATGGCTGTGTACATGTATTCGTGTAACAAGAAATAATGAAATAACAGGCCATGAATTGAAAAAGGAGGGGTATATGAAAAGATTTGGAAGGAGTAAAGGGAAGGAAGAAGTTATTTAATTATATTATAATCTCAAAAAGCAAAGAAACAAAAAGCTCTTGTTAAACGCTTAATGGGAGTGATGGAAAATTAATAAATATAGGAAAAACATTTATTTATTAACATCTTCTATGGCTGATTTTAAGATCTCCAGGGTTGAAAAGAAATGCTCACTTGTATGACATCACAGAGCATGGATGCAATATGTGCAGCTCACTGCTGGCATGTACACTATAGTAAAATACCAAAAATGATTTTTAAATAATTTTAGAATAATTAATTTGCATAACTTAAATTTTAATACTGTGTCTAATATCTATCATACGAATTCCAGAAAAGTTAACAATTGATTCTCAGGAGCTTGTCTTACAGATGCTAGTTTCAGCTCCCTGTATGTTTTCTCTTCATAGGTCGGCTTAGAAAACCAAAAATTACACAGACTTTAATAACATTTTTGAACAATTCTTGTAATGTCACACTAACATGCTCTGTGGAGAAAGAAGAAGGGAATGTGACATACAGTTGGAGCCCCTTGGGAGAGAGAAGCAATGTCCTTCAAATCTTCCAGTCCCCTGAGGACCAAAATCTGACTTACACATGTACTGCCCAGAACCCTGTCAGCAACAGCTCTAACTCTGTCACTGCCCAGCAACTCTGCACAGGTAACCAGCTGCATCCATCTTTTCTGGAAAGCCTCAGAAATCACTTTGAAGAGCTTCAAGGCTTAACCTTTGACTAGTCTTCACATGCATCTCCCTCCTCTACGCTGACACTAGCCCTGGGTATAAGCACACCCAGGTAGCATGGGGGGGGGGGGGGTGGACCAAAGCATTCTAAGAAGTGCTAAGCATTCCCGGGCATTTTGAAGAGCCCCTGGTTGACTATAATTCAGACTGTCAAACGAAGAGCTTTAGCACTCTCATGGGCATCCTGTCTTGACAGTGGCCTGCACAGAATCTTGGCCCTGTCTCCTAATAGCAAGGACTCACAACAATTTCTCTTCCAGACATCCCAAACTTCTCCGTTCGACGTGCTGTGTTGCCAAGTGGACTGGCTGCTGCTCTCCCTCTGGTTATTCTCATTTTGGTTTTGGGGCTTCTGTTCTATTTGTACATGAGAAGGCGAAATAAGATTGACCTGGAAGGTAAAATGTGAGAATGTGTCTTCTTTCTTCCATGGAGTGAAGTTGTTTATTTAGCCAGGATGGAGCAGAGTGTATCATTTTGGGAACCATAACAGCAAGCCAAAGGAGGAGGGGTGGGGGGGTAAAAATATTTGCCAGTCTAGAACAAACATGCAAGCACACATGCACACACTCACACACACACACACACACACACACACACACACGGGGGGGGGGGGGTAATAAGGAAAATGTGCTACAAGAGAAAGAGGGATGCAGTAGGTAGTCTCAGAGAGAGAATATCCCATGAAAGGCAACAGCAATTTCCTTTAACTATTAAAGGAAATTATTTGGTCTTTTTTTTATTAATTTATTTTATATAACAAAGTCCATTTAAATAAAAACAAACATTTATAGACAATATTTGGGAATTTGGGCATTGTTCTTTCCAAACTACTTCCTGCTGGTAAGGGGCGCTGTCATGGGGGATTCTAAGAAGATTCAGAAATCCTGGCTGTAGTCTGTAAGGCTGCTCTGTCCAGCTGTTTTGAATGTAGGATCACCTGGTACTCTGTTTCAGGTGGTCTGGCGTGATCAAACCACATTAGTCTGGAAGGAATCCACATCTTTTCATTTTCTGTGGAAACAAAAATAGAAATCCTTTTCCCCAGTAACTTGTCCTTCAACTTAAATTTTGGAGTCAAAGCATTTTTTTAAATTTAATTTATTATTTTACATGTCAACCCCAGTTCCCTCTCCCTCCCTCCCTCCCTCCCTCTCTTCATTCCTCCCTCCCTCCTTCCCTCCCTTTTACCCTCTCTGCCCTCTCACATGCACTCTAACCACCCTCCCTTCCCATCCCCCCACCCCAATTCCATATGTAGGGGAATGCCATCCAGTTGGGGTCATGTAGATCTGACAGGTCATGTGAAGTAGGGACTAGGGCTTCTCTCCTGTCTCTAGATTAAGGCAGTTATCCCTCCATGGGGGATGTCTTCACAAAGTCCTTTTGTGCACCAGGGATACATCCTGGCTCCACTGTCTGAGGTCTCTTAGACTGCTCAGTCCTTCTGGTTGAGACCCATATTCAGGGGGGCCTGAGTCAGTCCCATGCTGGCTTCCCAGCTATCAGTCTAGTGGCCGTTAGCTCCTCCTTGTTCAGGTAAGTTGTCTGTATGTGTTTCTGCCGCATGGTCTTGTCCTCTCCATCTGCATCTGGGTTCTAGTTCGACTCAGTGTTTAGTTATGGGTGTTTGATCCTGTTTTCAACAGGCATTAGTTGAGGGCTCCATGGAGAAGTTAGTTGTTGATCTCAATCTCCGGGAAGGGCATTGATGATAGCCTTTCCACGGAAGCTCAGATTGTTAGTTGGGAGCAGTCTTGTAGTTCTCTAGACCTTTCTTTGTATTCAATTTTATCTTCAAACCAATATTGGCTCCCTCTTTTATGTTCTCTCTCTCTGTCTCTGCCTCTCTCTCTCTCTCTTTCCTATCTTCTATTCCTAACCAGGCTCAATCTTCCTGGTCGCACATGTTTTCCTTTCCTCCCCCTCATTTTCTCCTACTTCTCTCTCCATTCGCTGCCCCCCCCCCACTTCACCTGAGCTCTGGGGGACTTGTCCCTTCCCAGTTCTGTGAGGGACTTTATATGAATCTCTTAGAATACACCTTGTATCCTAGTTCCTCTGGTGATGTGAATTATAGGCTGGAGATCCTTTGCTCTAGGTCTAAAATACATATATATGAGTGAGTACATACTGTGTTCCTCTTTTTGTGACTGGGTTACCTCATTCAGGATGGTTTCTTCAAGTGCCATCCACTTGCCTGCGAATTTCAAGATACCATTATTTTTTTTCTGCAGAGTAGTATTCCATTGTGTAGATGTGCCACATCTTCATTAACCATTCTTCAATTGAGGGGCATCTAGGTTGCTTCCAGGTTCTTGCTATTACAAATAGTGCTGCTATGAACATAGTTGAACAGATGTCTTTGTTGCATGGATGTGAATCTTTTGGGTATATGCCTAAGAGGGGGATTGCCGGGTCCTGTGGTAAACTAATTCCCATTTTCCTGAGGAACCGCCATACTGATCTACAAAATGGCTGTATGAGTTTGCACTCCCACCAGCAGTGGAGGAGTGTTCCACTTTCTCCACATCCTCTCCAACATAAGTCATCACTGGTGTTTCTAATTTTAGCCATTCTGGCAGGGGTAAGATGGTATCTCAAAGTTGTTTTGATTTGCATTTCCCTGGTAGCTAAGGATGTGGAGCATTTTCTTAAGTGTCTTTCAGCCTTTTTGATTTCCTCTATTGAGAATTCTTTCTTCAGTTCTGTACTCCATTTTTTAATAGGGTTGTTTGGTGTTTTGTTGACTAGTTTCTTGAGTTCTTTGTATATTTTGGAGATCAGCCCTTTGTCGGATATAGGATTGGTGAAAATCTTTTCCCAGTCAGTGGGCTGCCGTTTGGTCTTGTCCACTGTGTCCTTTGCTTTACAGAAGCTTCTAAGTTTGAAGAGGTCCCATTTATTAATTGTTTCTTTCAGTGTCTGTGCCCCTGGAGTTATGTTCAAGAAGTGGTCTCCTATACCAATTTGTTCAAGGGTACCTCCTACTTTCTCTTCTAAGAGGTTCAATGTGGCTGGATTGATGTTGAGGTCTTTGATCCATTTGGACTTGAGTTTTGTGCATGGCGACAGACATGGGTCTATCTGCAGTCTTCTACACACCCTCATCCAATTGTACCAGCAACATTTGTTGAAGATGCTGTCCTTGCCCCATTGTATAATTTTACCTGTTTTGTCGAAAATCAGGTGTTCATAGGTGCGTGGATTAATATCAGGATTTTCAATTTGATTCCATTGGTCTACCTGTCTATTTTTATGCCAATAACAGGCTGTTTTCAGAACTCTAGCTCTGTAGTAGAGCTTAAAGTCAGGAATGGTGATGCCTCCTGAAGTTCTTTTATTGTATAGGGTTGCTTTGGCTATCCTGGGTCTTTTGATTTTCCATATAAAGTTGATTGTTATCCTGTCAAGGTCAATGAAGAATTGTGGTGGGATTTTAATGGGGATTGCATTGAATCTGTAGATTGCTTTTGGTAAGATTGCCATTTTTACTATGTTTATCCTACCTATCCAAGAGCATGGGAGATCTTTCCATTTTCTGGTATCTTCTTTAATTTCTTTCTTTAGAGTCACAAAGTTCTTATTATATAGGTCTTTTACTTGTTTGGTAAGCGTTACACCAAGATACTTTATGTTGTTTGTGGCTATTGTAAAGGGTGATGTTTCTCTGATTTATTTCTCTGTCTCTTTGTCGTCTGAAAAAAGTAGGGCTACTGATTTTTTTGAGTTTATTTTGTATCCTGCTAGTTTGCTGAAGGTGTTTATCAGCTGTAGGAGTTCCCTGGTAGAGTTTATTGGGTCAGTTATGTAAACTATCATATCATCTGCAAATAGAGACAGTTTGACTTCTTCCTTTCCAATTTGGATCCCTTTGATCTCCTTTTGTTGTCTTATAGCATTAGCTAGAACTTCTAGTATGATATTGAAGAGATATGGAGAGAGAGGACAGCCTTGTCTTGTTCTTGATTTTAGAGGAATTGGCTTAAGTTTCTCTCCATTCAGTTTGATGTTGGCAGTTGGTTTGCTGTATATTGCTCTTATTATGTTTAGGTATGTTCCTGTTATCCCTGACCTCTCCAAGACCTTTATCATGAAAGGGTGTTGAATTTTGTTGAAGGATTTTTCCGCATCTAGGGAGATAATCATATGGTTTTTCTTTTTCTGTTTGTCTATATGGTGGATCACATTGATAGATTTTCGTATGTTAAACCATCCCTGCATTCCAGGTATGAAGCCTACTTGGTCATGGTGGATGATTTCTCTGATGTATTCTTGAATTCGGTTTGCCAGTATTTTATTGAGTATTTTTGCATCGATGTTCATCAGGGATATTGGTCTGTAGTTTTTTTTCTTAGTTGTGTCTTTGTGAGGTTTGGGTACCAAAGTTATTGTGGCCTCATAAAAAGAGTTTGGCAATGAACCTTCTGTTTCTATCTTGTGGAACAGTTTGAGGAGTAGTGGTATTAGTTCTTCCTTGAATGTCTGGTAGAATTCTGCGCTGAATCCATCTGGCCCTGGACTTTTTTTGGTTGGAAGGCTTTCGATGACTGCTTCTATTTCATTGCGGGTTATAGGTCTATTTAAGTTGTCTGTTCTTGATTTAATTTGGTAGGTGATAGTTATCCAGAAACTTGTCGAATTCCTTTGAATTTTCAATTTTTGTGGAATACAGATTTTCAAAGTATGACCTGAAAATTGTCTGGATTTCTTCTGTGTCTGTTGTTATGTTCCCCGTTTCATTTCTGATTTTGTTAATTTGCATGTTCTGTCTCTGCTTTTTCATTAATTTGGATAAAGGTTTGTCTATCTTGTTGATTTTCTCAAAAAACCAACTCTTCGTTGCATTGATTTTTTTTTTTTTTTGTATTGTTTTCCTGGTTTCTATTTTGTTGATTTCAGCCCTCAAGTTGATTATTTCCTGGCGTCTACTCCTGTGGGGTGAATTTGCTTCTCTCTGTTCTAAGGCTTTCAGTTGCGCTGTTAATTCTCTTATGTGACTATCCTCTGTTTTCTTCATATGGGCACTTGGTGCAGTGAACTTCCCTCGTAGCACTGCTTTCAAGGTGTCCCATAAGTTCGGGTATGTTGTATCCTCATTCTCGTTGAATATTAGAAAGTCCTTAATTTCTTTCTTTCTTTCTTCTTTGACCCAGGAGTGGTGCAATTGCACATTGTTCAGTTTCCATGAGTTTGCAGGTTTTCTGCTATTTGTGTTGTTGTTGAATTCCAATTTTAAAGCATGGTGCTCCGATAAGATACAGGGGACTATTCCTATTCTCTTGTATCTGTTGAGGTTTGTTATGTCACCTAGTATGTGGTCGATTTTAGAGAAGGTTCCATGTGGAGCAGAGAAGAAGGTATATTCTTTTGTCTTTGGATGGAATGTTCTATAGAT